TTCTTCTTGATCATAATTTTGTTTAGTTTACGGACATCTTTTTTAAGTTTTAGGTGATGGGATTTTTCCCCTTGTCTGGGGTGGAGGAGCGTGCTTAAACTTTAAATATTAATGTTTACCTTTACTATATTGCCTAGTGGCCAGAGAATGTGGGTGGGCTTTACGATTTATACGTTTTTTAAAGTTGGTCTGGAGGAAGAAGAACCTGAGTTTTAAAAGTATCTCTAACTACACTTGCTGAATAAAACCAAAAAACCAAACTCACTGCTGTCGAGTTGATTCCAGCTCATAGCGATTCTATAGGACAGACAGTAGAACTGCCCCATAGTGTTTCCAAGGAGTGGCTGGTGGATTCGAACTGCTGACCTTTTGGTTAGCAACCCTGAGCTCTTAACCACTGTGCCACCAGGGCTCCCACTTGCTGAATGACCCTGGGAAAATCACTTATTTCTCTGAACCTTAGTTTCCACCTCTGTAAAGAGGAAATAATAAGTATCTAATTCCAAAGTGTTTGTGGGAATGAAAGAAGACTACTATTATGGATTGAATTTTGCTCCTCTAAAATAGGTGTAAATCCTAACCTCTAGGCCTGTGGTTATAGTCCCGTTTGGGAATGAGTTGTCTTTGTCATGCTAATGAGGCAGGATTAGTGTAGGGTGTGTCTTGAGACAATCTCTTTTGAGATATAAGAGAGATTAAACAAGCAAGCTAGCAAGCAGAGATGGGGGAAGAGAGATTCCAAGCCATATGAAGATTTCCCAGGAGCAGAAGCTCAGAAGAGACAAGGACCTTCCTCCGGAGCCAACAGAGAGAGAAAGCTTTCCCCTGGAGCTGGTGCCCTGAATTTGGACTTCTAGCCTCCTAAACTGTGGGAAAATAAATTTCTGCTTGTTAAAGCCACCCACCTCTGGTATTTCTGTTATAGTAGCACTAGATAAGAAGACAACCACTCAAATGCAAAAACCAAAAGCTATTTATTCAGTGCTTGCAATAGCAAGGGAGTAAGCTCTCATCACTTGCATTTGGCAAAGACTCAAAAGTAGGCAGAGGAATGAGAAACTTATGGTGGAAAAAAAGAAAGGAGTTTCAGATATTCTCTGAATGGATGTTGTTATCATGTGGAAGCTGGAGATTAGCTAACTAGAAGCAGGGGCATCTTATGTGATTGGATTGGGGAGCATATTTGACTTTCTCTGGTTGATTCTTACTTGGAAGCAGGGGCGAAAAATAGGGAAGCTGGCACTCACTGACCAAGTCCTTACTGTTTTGGGCCATTTGCTGCAGAGGTGTGATTTGGCTTCCCCAAGCTGATTACTGCAGAGGTTGAGCGTCAGAATTCTGTTGTCATATATGGCCTGGCCTTGTCTGTTTGTATATTCAATCTCTCAGGTTCTTTAATGTGTGTGTGTGAAATTTCCAGGCATATAGTAAATAATAAATAAATATTAAAGATTTTTTTTAGATTTCATTGTGCCCTGATTAAGAATTTATTCAGCAGCGTAATATACAAATGCAGTCGTAAATGTCAAACTATACCAGAGTGTATAGAATAAAAACAGGAACTCCTGCTTTCTCTTTACCCTAATCATTGCACTGTTGTTGTATACCATCGAGTCTATTTTGACCCATAGTGACCCTACAGGACAGAGTAGAACTGCCCCCATAGAGTTCCCTAAGCTGTAATCTTTATGGGAGCAGATCACCTCGTGTTTTCTCCTACAGAGCCACTGGTCAGTTCAGACCACCAACTTTTTGGTTCGCAGCTGAGCACTTAACCATTACACCACCAGGGCTCCTTAATCATTGCACAGTAGAAAACTGGAGGTGAATATAGGTGAATATTGGTAATAGGTTTTTATGGATCTTTTCAGACCTTTGTTCTATTCATTTATGTATGTCTATTTATGATTGTATTGTATATAAATATGTAGGTATATATATTTATATATACCAAAAACAAAAACAAAAACATTGCCGTCAAGTTGATTCCTACTCATAGCAACCCTATAAGACAGAGTAAAACTGCCCCATAGTGTTTCCAAGGAGTGGCTGGTGGATTCGAACTGCCAATCTTTTGACTAGCAGCCAAGTTTTTAACCACTGCACCACCAGGGCTCCTTTTATACATAATACACGTGTATAAAGCTTTTACATAAATGGTAAATGCTGACATTTTTATTTAAATATTATGAAATATTTCAGGCATATAGAAAAGTATAAAAATGGTGTAACAAGAGCATATATCACCATCCAGCTTAAAATTTAAAACACTACCCTTTGTGTACCACTCTCCCCAAACACGTCACCTACTCTCAAACATAAAGATAACTACTATACTAAATTTAGCATTTATCATTCTATGTAGTAGGGAAGTTAACCTTTCCCAAACCTGGGCTTTGCCCTCAGCTTCTGAGAGATAATCTCTAAGTCCTTAGTATGTCATGCCTGATACTACTGTCTTTGTTTGTCTGGGGCCTTGGGTCACATCAGGTAGTCAAACAATGTGATTTAGGTTGGGACTGGTCACAACAGATAGTCTAGCAATGTGATTTGTTGTGATGGCTTTAGGTCAGGTGGTATCAGCACCACTTCCAGAGGGTCTAGACACTGAGATTAATCATATGGACAGTCAACCATGCCTGCATGACAGAGGCCCAATAAAAACCCTGGACACCAAAGCTTGGGTGAGCTTCTGTGACTGGCAGTACTCTGTGCATATTCTCACACATCAATGCGAGGAGCGTAATGTTCTCCAGAACTCCAAAGGTGGAGGACAACTGGAAACTCCGTTTGGTACTTTCCTGGACTCTGCCCTATCCACCTTTTCCCTTGGCTGATTTTAACCTGTATCTGTTAGCTGTAATAAACTGTAACTGTGTGTGTGTATAACAGCTTCCATTGAGTTCTATGAGTCTTTTTAGTGAATTAGTGAACCTACCAAGATAAGGAATGGCAAAAGGGCATGGGTCTATTGTCCCAACCTCCAGCTGGGGACCCAAGACTACATGCACATAAGTGGGTAAAATGCTCAGGGGTTGGAGAGAAGTTTCTGGGACTCTTGACATGGGAACCTTGTACACTGTAATTCCAAAACCTGTTGCTGAAATCCTAATGGAAGCTTAGATTAGGAATATATGAGAATGCAGTGGTTGATGGGATGAAGGTGAAAGTTTACATGAAAATTGAAATGTTAGAACAAAGTTTATGTGAAGTGGTTTCCTCTCCTTTACTTGAATGTATTATGCTGATGAATATTTTGTCTGACTGGGGAATGCTTCCCCTACCTAGTATTGTAAAACAGAAGGCATGCAAATTTGCCCGTCAGACAATATTGATTGGATGTGCTAAATAATAACTAATAAATTTGTCCGAGCCCACATAAATTGTTAATTTGAAACAGTATAGAATGACTGGTGAACAAAACATGTTAAAAACCCAGAGTCTGGTTGATTGATTTGAATTTTGGAGGACACATATTCCACATCTGTCAATATTGTTAGCTTTTATCCATAAAACTATTCGAAAGAAATTTTGGAGTCCTTAAACAGACTGGAGCTTTTGGCAAAATCCAGTGAGCCCCACCCAGAGGCAATCACTGGGATTTGGGGCCTGAAATTTTCTGTTTGAGAGAAACTAACTGGATATTGGCTTTGATTGAGACTGCCTGTATGACTGGAGGATATAAAACAATCCTGAAACCTGAAATTCCATGATGGCTGATGTAATGTCGGAAAAATACTTATAAGGAAGACCATTCCCAGAAGAGTTCCATAATAAAATGGAAATGGTTTATACAGGAGCATGCTGCCAAGGGAATGCAAGGAGGTACTCTTTACATTCGTGAGCAGGTAGTCTCCTTTTCCCTAGGACCGACTTCAGAACCATCTGAGGAGCTCCCAGATCATATTGCCACTTGGACAGTGCCTATTAACAGCTATCAGTTGACCAGCAAAGAGCTTCTTGGTTTATGGATGGCAGTTCCAAGCTAATGGACAGCATCCTGTTTGGAAGACTACCACTCTGAACAAGGTAAGAGCAAATCAGCTCAGTGGGCTAAATTGCATGCTGTTTGCCCCCTGTGTTTTATTTTTTTGCTGACTCATAGGCAGTCACCAATGGCCTGGCCATATGATCAGAAAAATCAGAAGAGGCTATATGTAGCTTTGAAATTGATGTAGAATTTGAATGTGGGCAGAGGAAACAGTTGCAAGAGTAAATGCCATGTAAAGGAGAGAGACTTGAGTGAAGGGAGAGGTATGTTTACAGTAAAATTTGGAAAGGGCAGCATTTTCTCTTTGGCCTGGAAAGTCTGGGCAAAGGCACCAGGGGGATGTAAGGCAAGGGTGGGGCAAAATTGTGGAGAACTCATTTGCAAAGGAAAGAAGTTTGTCATTTTTCTTGCCAGCTACAGGAATGCCTGTCCATTTTTATTTCCCAACTATCTGTTAAATCTGTCCCCTCCTCTTCATCTCTCACAGCCCATGCATGAACTCAAGCATATCATTCTTTCCAGACCACCACACCAGTCTCTTCCCTAGTTAGCTGGCCTGAAGTCCCTCCTCTTCCAGCCCATCTCTCACATGGGCCCCAATGGGGTCTTCCTAACATGTCACCTGACTGTGTCCCCCCACCCCCATAGTGCAAAAGATTCCCATTTGCTTTGAGAGAGAATCCCATGACCTGGCACTTGGAGAGAGAGAGAAAAAAGTAGACACGGCATTGGAGCTTCACAGAGGGTCACAGGGATTGCTGCCCTGTCCCTAGAACCTCTTAAGCATCTTGCTCCATGTAAATCCTGCTTCTCAAGATGAACAGGCCTGAAGGATGAATAAAGAGACAGAAGCCCCTAGTTTTCTAAGAATACTTTCTGCTCTCCCCACTCCCACCTCCTCTTTCAGTTACCCATAATCTCATCCTTTTTGGACATACGGTTCTGGAGTCAGACCAGCATAGTAAAAGCCCTGGGCGCCTCCTGTTCCTGAGAACCACTGCTGATTTGGATGGTGCTTCCTCTGCTACAGTTGGGTGAGTGGGATGAGAAGCAGCACTGGAGGAGTCTGAAGAACGAAGGCTCCAGGGCCAGGTGTGAGGTAAACAGGAGACGGGTTGGGCTATGATGGTATGAAGAAAGAGGACATAAGGGCAGAGGTACAAATAACCAATGTGGGTGAGACATCCTCAGTGTGCTAGATTCTGGCAGAGCTGGAAGTATCTGGAGGAAGCAGAAGAATTGGCCTGGGGGTGGTATGAAGATATGAGAGCCTAAGGAGCTGTTTCAGATATTAATAACACACACTGGAAGTATCAAGATTAGTCAGTTTTTCAGCATCTGTCTGGCCGTCTGTTGCTCTCGACGGGCATACTTTCTCAGATGGCAAAGACAATCAAGTGAACAACAGTAGAGGAGGGGCTGCACGTCACAATACCCTGCAAATCCCACACCCCTCAAGTGACCGAGTTGAAAGGTCGAAGATCAAGGGCTACTGGTCAAGGGAAAAAGATTCCTTTTGTCCGGTAACCTCAAATAATACATGAAACACTAGGTCCAGTTCCTCATTTTGGGCGACCTTGAAGAAAGTGACTGTTCCTTATTAATCCATGATATTCACAAAATGGACAGCATATCCTACCTGTTCTATGCAAAGCGAGGCAGTTTCAAAAGTTCTTACCCAGAAAATGCCGTAGTAGTCTTTTCTTCAGATAAATGCTCAATCAAAGACCACTTAGGATTGGGAAGAAGGAAATCTAGACAGAGAACTATTTATTTAATGAATAATACTTTTCTGTTCACTGTGCTAGGAGCACTATAGATGTTGTTGTTAGTTGCTATCAAGTTGGCCCCCAACTCATGTCAACCCCATGCACAATGGTATTGGACCGTTGTGATCCTTGGAGTTTCCATTGGCTGATTTTTCAGAAGTAGATCCCCAGGCTTTCCTTCCTAGTCTGTTAGTGTGGAAACTCCACTGAAACCTGTTCAGCATCATAGGAACACACAAGCCTCCACTGACAGATGAGTAGTGGCTGTGCTTGAGGTGGCATTAATTTTTACAGCAGTGATAGTATGAGATAGGTTCAGCAAATGTCTCTATGTTCTAGACTAGGAAACAGCAAAAAAAAAATAGGAAGTGATTTACCCAGCAGCATCCACTCAGGAAGCAAAAGATGGAGAAATTGATCACAGATCTGGCTGAGAAGGGGCAGAGCTTAAAGGGGAGAGTTGGAGATGGGAGGACAGAGACAGAGTAGGAGCTAATACTGGAAAGTATAGCCTTGGGAGCAAGTAAGACATTGTAGGCAATGTAGAAAATTCACTCTCCATCAGTCTGAAAGGTCCGATGTTCAGGTTCAGGCCTGAGAGAATGAAGGAGAACTGGTCTGTGAGACCCAGGCCCTCAGGACTTCCAGAAAGTCTTTCTGAAGCTCCTTGGGAATCATGAATAAGGAGAAGGCTGGGTCCTGGAGGATGTGGAGAAGAGAAGTCAGAGCACCTTACTTATTCCTGACCCTCCCTCCCCAGCACCCGCCAGGCTGCTCAATTCCTCATGTTCCGTGGAGAAGACGCTGCAGTGCAGCTGTTCCTTCCATGGGATTCCCACACCCTCCGTGAAGTGGTGGATGGGAGATGTTCCTGTGGGTGTGAACAGCATGGATAACATCCTCCAGGTGACTTCCACCATGCTTGGCCCCTGGGCCAACAGCACCATCAGCCTGACCAAGGACCCAGAAACTGGGACAAGCCTTCTTTGTGAGGGGAAGAACAAAAATGGAACCCATGCTTTGAGCATCCTACTAATGTCAAGTGAGGATAGAAGGGGCTTGATAACTGGGTGAGAAAAGTGAGGTGGTTGGGGATGGGCACTGGAGCTAGAGGAGGGAGCAGAGTTTTGGCTTTGTTTCTAAGGTCTTGGGAAGAAAACCCTTTCTGACATCCTCTTTACTTCCAGAAAAGAGTTCTTTTGCTCCACAAACATTCATGAACGGGCTGCTCCAGGGTGTTATGTACGGAGTCATTGCAACCACACTGCTCTTCTTCTGCCTTATCCCCTTCATGTGAGTACCAACGTGTAATTCACCAGCAAGCCTCTCCCAAAGCCTGCTATCTGGCAGGCCCTGGCTGTGGTGGTGGTACAGAGGGCAAAGACAGAACCCCTGCCATAAAAGAGCTCAGTGTCTGGCAAGGGAAAGCACTAAATGTGGTCATCACAAACCAAGGCCATCAGGATTATAAACCAAACCAGTTAACCACTGGGTTGATTCTGACTCATGGCAACCCCATGTGTTTCAGAGGAGAACTGCACTCCATAGGGTTTTCAATGGCTGTGATCTTTCAGAAGTAGATTACCAGGCCTTTCTTCCAAGGAGTGTCTGACTATACTGAGCCATAAAGCAAGCCCATGGGGCAAAGGGGGGAATGGAAGCCCTGGAGAAGCCAAAAAAAGCATCCCCAAGGTGCTGTCTGAGGTGGGCCTAGAAGACTGAGTACTGTTTGGCTTGAAAGTCTATATTCAGAAGCCCAGAAATATATTTGAGGAATTTCCAGTGTCTTTGTGTAATTGGAACAAAGGTGCATTGAGATTGATAGATAATGACTAAAAACAAGGCTGGAGAAAAGTCCTTGGTGGTATTTCGTAAAGACCCTTGAAACTTGGCTAAAAGTATTGGCTAGAAGCCTAGAATGGAAAGGGCAGAGTTGCCAGAGGTCAGGCCAGAGAGTCAGGCAGGTGAGCTTCTGGCCAGTCCAAAGAGAGTGGACTTCATCTTCGATCGGGAACTATGGAAGAGGTTAAACTGGGAAGGAATGTTGTCAGTTTGAAGTAAAACACAGACCAGGGAGTGAGAGCCTGGAGGCCAGAAGCCAGGCAGAAAGTTGATGCTGTGGTTCTAAGCAGGAAAGAGCTAGACCTGCCTGAGCTGGGGCAAGTGATGAGGGACAGTCAGAGGAATGGTATTTGGGGACTGATTGGCTATCAGAAGAGAGAAAGAAAAGGAGTGAAGTGGCAGGGCAAGTCGAGCTATTTTCAAAGTATAATCAGCTGGACTTGAGGACCAATAATAATCTCTTTACAGTTTGCAGAGCACTTTCATAGCTGACCTCATCTGAGCCCCACAACCTGATAAGCGGATGTTCCCATTTTACAGCATGTGAGACCAGTCCCCAGAGAGGTTATGTGGCTATCCATCCCTAAACCAGAACTGGCTCTAAATGAGAACTTCTCATCAAGAGTGGGGTTCTTTTGGGAGTGCAGGGAGGCAGAGAGCCAGAACTGATCAGGTGGGTCATTTCCTTAGAGTGAAGTATATCAGGATGAAACGGGCAAAGAGAATTGCAGAGGTCAAAACAAAAAAGAGCCCTGAAGTCAGAGCATGCCAAGAACCCACGATGTCTCAGAAGCCTGAAGAATCAGAAAAATCCGTAATCACCCCATCTTCTGACAGCCAGATATTGGTAAACACTCATTGTGTCTGGAATCTAGTCTGTCAGCTAGAAGGATAATAAGATGACTAATGGGGAGAGGCATAAAGGAATTATCCTCCTTAATCTTATGGGATGTCTAGAATGCCAGAATGTGCTTGCAGATCACCTTGTAGATGATGATGCTAAGGTCTAGATAGGGGAAGAAGGAGAAATTAATAGAACTAACTCAAAGGGTTATTAGAAATCAGAAATTTACACACACACACCCCAACACCTTGAGTCTCCCTTCAGAAGAGAATTGTGGGAACCCCTAACAGTCATAGTAGCATCAGAGTAGAAACCAAAGGGTTTGGTCTCAGCAGTCAGCACAGTCTGTAGATGCCACAAACCCAACTCAACTCAAAGTGATTAGAGACCAGGCTAAGCCCAGGTTACTCCTTCATTTACCCTGCACCCCATAGCCTCAGCAGGGCTTAGATTATCTAGGACCAGAAGTACCCTGTTGCCTTCCTTAGATCCTGCTCTAGGACCTGGTGTTCCTTTAAGGGTTAACCGTGCATCTGTTGAGTTCTATCAATATTACATGTTGCCGTAAAAAAAAAAAAAAAAATAGCATATTATGAAAATACCTAGCGGAGGGAGGAAGCAGTTGGCAAACAAACATAGAAGGCACGACTTATTTGTGTAAAAATACGGTACTTGCATTATTTCCTAATGCTAGGCAATGCTAGAGTCTCAGAAATGGATAAGACCTAGGCCCTGCCCTCAGAAAGCAATCAGGCTGGTCAGAAAAATACCCTCACAATAGGAGAGCCAAGAGGTTATGATTGCCCAGAGGAGGGAGGGATCAAACCTGCCTGGAGAAGTCAGGTAAAACTCCCCAGAGGAGCCCTGGGAACCATTAAGTGGTTCCGGATGCTGGATGGGCCCAGGGAGGACCAGCAAGAAAAGACAGGGTTGCAGGTTCAAACCATGGGAGTGCAGAGAAAGGTTAAACCAATGCCTGTTCCATTGTGCCTTAATTCTGTGCTTAAATGGGTGTCCTTTTTAGATCTGGATACCTCACCTCTAGACCTGTTCCAAGATTCTTCATTCTTTACCCATCTCCCACTTCCAGGAAAAGCAAGATAAACTATAGCCAACAAAGCCTGTGAAAAGACATCATACCTGGACTCCCCATTATCTCTGCAATGACAGAAGTCTACAAAGTTCTTAGAGCCCCCAGAAACCCTGGAGTCCATAGCCAACCTGGAGCCCCAGAGCCCCTTCAGCTCACAAAGCCCTCCCAATATCCACCCCTCCCTCACACTGTTTCTCCATTGAATAGGGGTTACTGTTGGACCTGGTCTTTGGACCTTTGAAAGCAAACTCTATGATTTGTTGTTTGGGTTAGCTATAATAAACCTGCACCCCCACCCCCACTCTAGGGATGTTGTCAAAGGAAGAAAAATAAATGTGAGACTATGAAATAGGCCCATGAGGAAGTCATTTTTGAGCCCCTACAGTATGCTTTTTAGTTTGGTTTGGTTTGGTTTTTTTACAGTATGACTAGCACCTGGGATATACTGTATATACAACAGCACCAAGCTTTGGAGTCATCATATATGGACTGAATCCCAACTTTATTGCTTAGTGACTGCTTGTTTTTGGACAAGTCTTTTGCCCACCTCTGAACTTCAGTATCCTCACCTGAAGTGTACCTGAGTGAAGAGCAAGTGAAAGGTGGTATCCAGAGATGAAACCTGGCAGGTGGAGAAAAGAAATGAAGATGAGCCTTGAACACCAGGGTAAAGCATTGCAGCATTATCGCATAAGACCTTATCCTGACTCCCCTAGATGTAAGTTCTAGGAGAACAAGGACCATGTGTGTCTTGTTTTCTACTTGTATCACCAGCAACTAGAGCAGTGCCTAAAATAATGACTGATAGATAGATAGGTAGATGAGATAGATGCTGTCAAGTCAATTCCGATCATGACAACCTTACTAGGTACAACAGAACAAAATGTTGCCTGGTCCTGCATCATACACATGATCACTGGCATAAAAATAAGTTCTCAAAAATGTTTGCTAAATATGAGGACCATGATCTCAGGGGAAATCTAGCTCAATTGGCATAACATAGTTTATAAAGAAAATTTTCTACATCCTACTTTGGTGAGTAGCATCTGGGGTCTTAAAAGCTTATAAGCAGCCACCTAAGATACTAAAGCACTGGTTCCACCCCATCTGGAGCAAGAGAGAATGACGAAAACCAAAGACACAAGGGAAAACCAAAGGACTAATGGACCACAACTAACACAGCCTCCACCAGACTGAGTCCAGCACAACTAGATGGTGCCTGGCTACCACTACTGACTGCTCTGACAGGGATCACAACAGAGGGTCCCGGACAGAGCTGGAGAAAAATGTACAACAAAATTCTAACTCACAGACCAGACTTACTGGTCTGACAGAGACTGGAGAAACCCTAAGAGTATGGCCCCCAGACACCCTTTTAACTCAGTACTGAGGTCACTCCTGAGATTCACCCTTCAGCCAAAGATTAGCCAAGCCCATAAAACAAACAGTAATACACGTAGCTAACCTATGTATATGAAACTAAATGGGCACACCAGCCCAGGGGCAAGGATGAGAAGGCAGGAGGGAATAGAAAAACTGGACAAATGAAAATGGGGAACCCAAGGTCGAAAAGGGGAGTGTTGACACATTGGGAGGTTGGCAACCAATGTCACAAAATAATATGTGTATTAACTGTTCAATGAGAAACTAATTTGCTCTGTAAGCCTTCATCTAAAGCACAGTTTTAAAAAATTTTTTGCCAAATAAAGAATGAATGAGAAGCTGTTGAAAGGTTTGAAGCAAGGAAGTGGAGTGATCTGATATATATAGGAATAGTTATTGAAGATGTATTTGGAAAAACTAAGACTGGAGGCAGAGAGCCTAGTTAGTAGGTCATTGCAGTATTCCTCGGCCAGGCTGAAAGTCAGACATGCAAAGAAAGAGAACTGAGTCTTGGTATTAGAATGGACCATGGCTGTGTATTGTTCCCTTCCAGATGAGTAACAGCCTCCCTGCTGGAGCCAGATTCTGGTAGTTTTCAGAGGGTAGAAATAGAGTTCTCTCTTCCCTGGTGGAGTATTTGTGAGTAAATACAGGGTTCTCTATTCAGCACCAATGAGATGGTCATCTTATACTCAGAGTAGATGTTTATATAAGCCCTCATATGTGTGAAGCCTTTCTCTTGCATGCAGTTCACACATTCCACAAAAATAGGAGCACCCACCATGTGCCAGATAATGAGACAAAAAAGCCAGACACTGCCCCTGCCTCCGTGGAGCTCATGGTCTACACAGGTACACAGACAATGAAGAAACAAACACAAGTTTACAGTTTAAAATGTTGATAAGTACTGGGAAGAAAAAAGACAAAATACTATGAGAACATACAAGGGACCAGGAGAGGAATCTTGCTTGGAAAGTCAGAGAATGAGAAAATGACATTTGCACTGAGACGTAAAGGACTGAGACCTAGCCAGACAGAAGGAACAGCAGATTCTAGGTTCTGAAATGGGAGAGGTTTGACGAGTTGCAGAACTGAGAGGGGCCGATGTGGCTGAAGCCCAGAGACTGAAGGGCGAGCTTGGTATGGGCCAGACCATGCAGGGCCTCCAGGGCTCTAGTGAGGAGTTTGGGTTTATCCTCCCTTACGGGTA